ACTGCTTTCATTTCCCTGCAGTTGATTTTTTAAACTGGATTTTAGGGAGCTTCTGAAGTGATTTTAGTCATGGTTTTAGCTTGTTCTTGAACTAGCAGAATTGATTTTCTTTATGTATGTGTTTTTAAATAGGCAATTAGGTTCAGAGAAATTCACAATGCGCCCCAACTGAGAACTTTGGAAAGATTAAAAAATATGACTACCCTTGTAGATACCATGATAAAACCCTCAAATTATACTCATGATGGTAGGACATCGGCTCCAAAGAAACCTAAAGTAAATGATCCAAATAAAAGGGACATGCCCTTAGAGAGAGGGCAGAGCTTAGCACAAACCTTCAGAGCTTACCTTCCAAAAAACTTGACGTGATTGTTCAGATCATTAAGAGGAGGAATATGGCACTTTATCAACATGATGATCGGATAGAAGTGGACATAGACAGAGTTGGTTTAGTCTTGTAAGGCCCAACACGACCACTTTGGGCCTTGCGTATAGAGAGCAATTCACCCAACAACCACCAATATTGTTTCTTCATCAAACCTTTACAAAAGATACTAACATAATTATATGCTAATCCTAATAGCACATATTTCACCCTACATGATTTCAATCTCTCATTAAAAAGCTAAAGTTGATTACTACATTTCAGAATGACTTACGATGAAACCTTGTAATTTGCTTAAATTATCCTGCCATTCCCTAACATTTTAATGTCAACATGACACACGATCTCTTATGATTTTGATGTTGTAAGACTAAGACCGATAAATATATCATGGCATCAATAAAAACAACAACAATGATTAAGTGTCAAGATTACTCCTTAATTTGTAGTTTAACAAATTTAACCAAATTTTGAAGGGTAAATAATTTTAATTTGAGGGGAAAATAAGTCATTCATTAATAAAAAAAAAACTCTCCCGTAGGATATTTTTGTTATCTTTAAAATATCAGAGAGCAATAGACAGTATGCCCATATATGAAGGGGTGGTGTTGATGCACAAACACTTAGGAATTTGATAGGTTCGTGAACAATTACAAGAAGAGCTTGAGCAAGCACAAGAGAAAGGCTGAACTTGTCACTCAAGCAAGAGCAGAGGTGGGTTTTGTTATTCCATTTTTAATGTATTACCTGTATTTTACATGCAGATCTTCTCTGTTAAGTGCAGTGTATCATTTATATGTTGTTCATTTTTTGACAAAAGACATGAAAAATGTTTTTGAAGCATACAAAATAGATACGCATATATCGGCATTTCGGACACTGCCCTACCTAAAAAACAACTGTTTGTTTTAGATACTTTATTTCTGCTAATTTCCTTGACTTTTCCAGTGTGTTTAGAAAGTTTTTCAACCTAGGGAGATTTCCCTGCAATATCCTAAAATTACAGTGGTTCAACTAATCCATGAGATATTTTCAGCTTGAGTTTAAATGTTTCTACAGGAGCTTACATGCAAGTAGGCAACAAGTGAAGCAACCAATCAAATTCCTGAGATCTCTACATATCAAATGACGAACATTCTGAAAACTATTCTTTTTGCTCCCAACCATAGCCGGTGTTGGCACCACTACTGGTGTTGGATGCTACAAATGAAGCCATCACAAAAGTCCTTGAAATGTTTTTTTTGCTTGTTGGAGGATCAACACCAATTCCTTCAAACCCAAATGCCTATTTCTAATGTCCATGAAGTCCTCTACCAACATGTGCAGATGACGGATGGTTTAATAATACTTTGTTGTATCCAAAATAGACAGTTTTCTTCCGAAGTGTTACTTGATCTGTTATGTTGATTAGCTGTTTCCATCTCCGCACATGGGCCTCCACAGATTGCTTAACATACACAGAAAGCTTGGTAAACGGTAAATGAAAAAACATTTTTTGAACCGAGAAATGTGTGTAGTCAAGATTCCTGTTGTACTCAATGTCCTCACAGATTGCACATTTTGGTTTTATTTTTTCCCCAGACAAAAAAATGGCACATAGACCTTCTGGGGAAAAAAAACGACACATAGTGTTTTAATATCTTTTAAATGAAGTCTAGAAAACCTATTTTCATGTTCTCGCTTATTGCACAAGTTGACATGTCTTCCTCTTCCATTGGTTTAACTAAAAAATTAACATTGATACACCAAATAGACAAAGACTGTCAGTTTCATTGTCACATTTTCAGTTGTTGAAGTGCTAGAGAGAATCATCATAGTTATTGTTAGGGAGGTAACATTGCATCATGGGCATGAATTAGAGAACGATGTATTTGCATCAAATACTCTATCTAATATTGATTTAGTGAGTATTTTGAAGATTTTCTTGTAAAATGTGATTCTTGATCAATTAAACATCAAGGTCTACTAAAGATATGGATTCCAAGAGAAGAATCCACAATTTTAACATGCATATTTCATGATCAAAATGGGACATGTGCAATGCACATGTGCACCAAGTACCAACTATATACTCTTACAAAGTAAGCAAGAAGTAAAAGGCAAATAGGAAATTTCCCTAGTGGCATAATGACGTTTACTTTATAGATGACCTTTCATGTTGCCACAGTAGTCAAATGGTGAAACTATAAAGCAACAAATCAAATAAGCTTGAAGAAAAATTCTGGAAGTAGAAAATTTTACAATGGCAACACATCAATGACTAACCTTTCGCTCTAGCGAGTAAGTGCGGGGAAGTGCAGGAAAAGGAAAAGACAGTAACTTTCAATACGTTTGATTAGCTAGAAAATACGGGGCCTGTTTAGTTTGCATTTCAAAAAATAGTATCCGAAAACAGTTTTTGAGAAGAATTTTAAGAAAGTGGTTTTGATATTTTTTGAGATAAAAAACTTGTTTGATTAGATGATTTCAAAAATAATTTTACAGTACAGAAAATAGTAAAGCCTGTTTGGACAGCCTAAATATATGTTTGAACAGTAATTCAAACATTAATAAAAAAATATAAGAAAGTTATTTTTAGATTAACAATTTCATAAAAAAAAAAAATCAATAAATCAAACTTTAAAATATATATATATACACACACAATACACAATATATATATATATACCCCTCACACACATAATATATATATATATATACACACACAGTGTCTTCAAATCTAAAAAAGAAGACGGAGAGACACACACACATGTTGGAGAAGAAAACGTCTGGAGAGAGAGAGGAAGAAGAAGAAGAAGAACACAGAGATCTAATCTGATCTGATCTAAAGTGCTTCGGTGCTCCAATGTCTTCTGATCTAAGGAAGAAGAGAGAGAGAGAGAGACATTGGAGAGCAAGAGGAACAAGAAAAAAAAAATGAAGACTTTTGTTGTTAAGGGGACTCGAAGGACAGACCTCATTAAAGTCCAAAATTGTTCTCTTTATTTCCAAAATTTTTAAAGAAAACTCTGAAAACAAGCTACATTTATTTTCTGTTTCTTTGACTCAAATTTCATTTTTTTCCAAAATTTTGAAAACAAAAATGCTACACAAACAGATTTTGGGTGTTTTTAAAATTTTGAGAACAAAAAACTGTTTCCGGATTACAAAACCAAACATGGCCACAGTTTCTCGAGGAAAATCTTTTTTCAAGCAACACCCAAATTTTCCTGCAATTAGCCGAAATTGTGTGAAAAGAATTTTTTCCCATGGAAAACTTATCCTGTCTTGTCATCTTCTTCTCCTCTAAATATAACTCAGATTCAGAGGTGGCCACCACTGGTAATACGACTTTGTCCTTGTAGAAATGGGTTTGCTTGCTGCCTCTTTTTGGATTTGGAATAGTTGGATGACACTGGTAGATGATTGGGTCTAGTGGCCATATACTGGTTACATTGATCCGGATTTGGATAGTTGTTTCAATGGGGATGGGGGTGGCAGTCACGGCGGTGGTATATGATTCATTGATGAGTGTGTTTTAGCTGTGAGATCGGTTCTCTACAGAAAATAATTTGCAGCCACTTACTTTAGAGAGAGAGGGAGCCATTTCTCTCTTTGTTGTAAACTATATATTTTGCTCACAACAAAACAAAAAGAATCAGGTATTTTGGTTACAAATATTTTTTTTTTTGTTAATTAAACTAGAGTTGTAAATGAGCCGTATTCATGTTATGTTTAAGTAGTATTATGTTAAAATTTGTCCAACTTACACCTAAACAATTTATAACTATGGATAGCTAGATTCGTATTGTGTGTAAAACATATTTAGTCGATTCGTATCACATAGAAATTATGTTGAGTGAACTCATATCATGTTTAGTTAAATTTGTATCAAATTCACGCATCGTGTTTGAAAAAATCAGGTGTGCATTGAATGTTGATTAATGGGATATACCTTAAATCATTGTTCAATCATTTATCAACAGATTTTTTGCTTCCATTTGAACTCATTTTGATAATTCTTTTAGTTGCTTTAATAGGTGTAATTGTTGTAACTCGTCAACAATAAATATTTAGAACTAGGAATCAAAATCCAATTTTATTTTGGGGTATCACATTCATTTCCCTTTTCCCACAAAATTTTCATCATAATCAAATACACACAAGAAAATATTTTTTTTTTCTTTTTCTTTTTTTTTGTTTCACTTCACTTTCTCTCACTTTCACTTTCCATCATATTTTTCTTCCTAACCAAACGAACCCTTTCGAAAAGACATCAATGACTAACCTTAACTGCGACTTCCTGTTGGTCATTGAGGACGGCACGGTGTACTTGAGCAATAGAAGCAGCAGCAATTGGGTGTTCATCCAATGACAAAAATCTGATATTTACACATTGGACCTCAAGTCAATAAGAAACTCTGGCCTTCCAGGCAGAAAGTCATAGATATTAACTGATTATGCAAGCAGATTTTCCCTTGGAGAAGGACTAAGAAGCTGAAATGGAAATTTTGAACAATGTCTTACCTACTAGGAAAGCAGCATTCGCATGGCACATGTCTAACGAAAGGGGAAAACTACCTTTAACCGTCTATTTCTCCTTTATTTTCTACTCCAAGTGTAAAATTAGATTTTGCAGGAATTATAATCACATTGGGATGTACTTTTGAAATGTCCTGTCAATGTTATTTCTGGGAAAATTAGAGCAAGCTTTTAAACTAGTTGACCAATCTAGTCAAACATGAAAGGTTTGATTAGGCAATTGCCACAATCCACAGTTTAATCAGCCAAAATTTACATGCAAGGTAGATGCAGAACTATGAAATATCAGAAGAAAAATACTACTAACAAAGTGATAGGAAAACTTCCAGTCCAGTGTTTAATATTACTCTCAAGGTAATTTTTTCTGCAATCAACTCAACATTGAGAATTTCAAGCAAAACAATGCTATTTATTGGTGCAAGTATTATTAGATTAAGTGAACCTTGATACAAAACTCCAAAAAGGGGCCCAAGTATTCTGAAAGAACAAATTTAAAACCAACTCAGATGAGCCTTGTCCCACTGTTTAAGGTTGGACTTCGGAAAGCAATATTTTGTTCTGCCATTGTGCTCTCTCCAGACCCATATTTTCTGCTAATGTGCAAACTATTATATCCTTTTTTACTGTGTCATTTAAAGTTAATTTCAATATATCTCTACATGTAGCATTACGCTTTTTCACTAACATAGCAGTAGGTATTCTATAAATACGTCCAATTCTACTTTGTATTCTATTCTATTGGTGCTAACTATACTGTTTTTGTGAACACATTCATTTTGAATTCTTCTTTTTTCGGTTTGCCACATATCCCATCTTAACACCTTCATTCCGCAAATTCACATTTTGAGAGTGTTGTTTCTTAACAGCCAAAATTCAATGAGTTTGTCAAAGGAAAACGAATGAATACTGTGGAAGCTAACAAGATAGAAGTAAGAAGATTTACAAAAGAAATTACATGATTTGTCCACAATCAAAATTCCACAATAATGGGAAGTATTAGGATGGAAATTCTAAAGAATGAAAAGCAAAGAAGCTAAATTCAGCTTCTTTCAATATTTCATTCCTACATAATAAAAAAAATTCTTCTCTTAAGTTCCACCCATATTTAATGGATTTTAATCTCTTTTCTTAGTCTAAAATAATTTTTAGTGCATATATTTAATACCAGTATCCTAAGTTACATGGTCAAACTCTTTCATGGAAGAACCTTGTCATCCTTATTTGATAAACGATCTACTTTTCTATTTAGAAAAAAAAAAGATCTATTTGATTCTTATTTAATCCACTTTTCAAGAATATTACATGTTCATCTCTTTTCTAAAATAGGTGCTTGATATCATAGAATAATATGTCATTGTACGATCTAAGACAGACTTCCCAGCATCGTTTTCCCTTTAAAGCCTTGTCCACTATGGATAATCTCATATCTTCCATGTTTTTTTCCTAAATGGCCGTTAAAGTCTCTTTCAATGTGTACTCTCTTTCCTAAAGGTATTTCTAGGATTATTTGAAGAATATATTGCTGAAATGGAGTTTTAATGTGATCATCTAATTCTACTTGAGATGTATAAGCACTAATAATATTAATTATATTTTCTCCTATTGTGAGTTTAACTAACATTATTCTATATCTTTTTCTAAAAACAAATATTACTTCTTGTTTAAGATTTTGATATACTATTATTCCAACTCCATTTTATCTCTATCTTTCAGTCTAACAAATTTTGTAACATGTATTTTCTATTTCTCTTGTTTTCCCTCTCGTTCACTTAGTTTCCTATAAGTATGACACATTGACTTTTCTCCTAATCATGATTTCAACTAATTTCATTCTTTTAGCTATTTGAAGTTGCCGTTAGTGTCCTTTTTACCTAGCTTAGGATTGGCCAGGTAAAAGGTAGAAGCTAAACATGACAATCGGATTTTCAGGAAAAGATAGATGCATCTACTACAAAAGTCAAAAAAAAAAGGCAAAAGAAAATAGAGTTGTCAATTGCCCCAAAACCTAAATGGATACTCAACAAAGCGTGTATCCCAATAATTTAATTTGGTATCAGATGCATAAATCATTTTTTCCTAATATGCTAAAGGAAGGGTCATCGTTTTTGTTAAAACATAAACAATCACATCTTTTTTACTACCGCATTCAAAATTCATTTCGACCTTCCTCTTCCATTTAAATTACCATCGGTGTGTATCAAACCACCCTTTCTCACTCTTGCAATTCTAGGTCTTCAATAAACATGTCCAAATCACTTAGTCAGTTCTCCCATAATTTATCCCTTCTTGGCGCAATTTCTGGAGCTTCACAATATATTTTTAACTCAATCCTTTCTAATTTTACCACATATACGTTGATCACAAAATATAATTGATGCATTCCTCCACCTAATCCTTCCTACTTCAATTCCATAAGTAATATTGTCTCCAACATATCTCTCCTTATGGATAATTGACCTCAAATATTAAAAGTATAGCTCATTAATATCTGTTGGCCTTCAATCTTTACTACCTCGCCATTTGCATTCATGCTCCTACTAAAATTATATTGCACATTGTCATTGTTATTGCTACTTAAATAATTTTGGTTCTTTCATCGATCAATAGTGTATAATTAGATTTTAAATAGATAGGCACTTGCGCCACGAATAAATCATAAAGATAATAAGAAATTCCATGCGCACTTATTTCATTAATATTTGCTAAATTATACTAGATTAAAATTGTAAAGGATAAAATAAAATTTTGTTACCATCTGATATGTTCGGAAAACACTAGACATGTCCTTGTCTAGCAACCATTTCTGAAAATAAAATAAATTTGAGATATAGAAGATATGCATAAATACTTCAGACCAAGCAAAAGGCTTAAGAAGTTATAGGTATCTTAAGCAGAGATGTAAACCAGCTTCTTATGTCAGTGATAAAACTGTGGGAATATGCTACACTTGGTAGACTGGCAACCCTTCATGGTTGTTGCTCAAGCAGATGCCAAATTTTAGAAAATGTAGCAAGAACATTTGAGTGATATTTAAACTTCTACTCAGAAGGAACGACTTACATCTCTGACAAATCCCGTCCCAGATTGTTGATTAGCACTTTTTCTATAGCCTTGAAGGAACAAGGAACCGCCTAAACCATCGGCCACAACAAATTAGCATATAAATTAACAAAAACACATGAAAACCAACAAGGTGCAATACATTTGGATAAAAATGAGACATAACCTCCACAGACAACATAGAATCAGTACAAGTGCACAACCTGATCCTGCAATGATGACAGAGTTGATGAGTATTCTTTTGGGACCTGCGCAAGGGCTGCAACAAACTGACCAGCTTTCACATAGAAACCTTTATTGGCCTCACATAATCTTAAAATCCTCTTTGCTGAACGGAGATGAACCTAAAAGCCCACAAAGCATCAAATATTAATTAATCAATCCGAAGTGACTGCTCTAAATATCATCAAAAAGTTCAATTTTGTTCTACGTTAATGGCATTGAAGAAACTCAACTTAATCATCTCAATAACAATTCACCATTGTTTCACTATATTATATAGAAAGCAAAAAACCTCGGAAAGCGTGCGAAGATAATCATCTGAATCGGCGGACAGGCCGTGTAAAGAATACTTGTAGTCAACAACAACGGAAGTGATCTGCATCAAATCAGACAACAAGAACACAAAACAATCGTAACTAGCAGTGAATTGATCGGAGGTTTGGGTATTAATGGTGCGTACCGTGAAGAGAGCGCGAGATGAGCGAACGACGCCGTTCAGTGCTGCCCTAACGTTGCCTGACAAAGATGTGGAAACAAACGGAGAGTCATGGGGAGAGGAGACAGAGTTAGGGATTATGGTTTGGAAAGTGACGGTGGCGACACCGGTGGCGGCGATGAGGCACAGAGAGGTCTTTGCGGCCTTGACGGGGAATTTGAAAATCTGAGTCCTCATTGAGTGAGAGCGAGTTTTTCGCCTCCGTGGCTCATGAGGATGACATCGCGGTGCAGAATGTGTAGAATTTTCTTTGGGGTTTTCACATTTTGTACCTCGAAAGATGTTATAATTTTCACTTTATACCCTAAAAGATATTTTTTCTCACATTATACCATTATTGTTCTAAATTGGTTGTAATGTAAACCCTCAAACTAACAACGACATCTGCACCCTCTGGGGCTGTTTGGTAAAAGAGTATGGGAAGGCTTGACAAGATGAATTGGAGAAAAATAGTTTAAAGACCCTCGAATCTCATATTAGATTAAAAATTTAATCAACTCGACTCATAATTGACCCGAATATTAAACTCATGATCATGAGTTTGACGAAACTTAGAGAGGGGGTGAGTTTGGAAAGATGAATTAAGAGGTTAAAAATATAAAAGACAATTGTGCAATTTTAACATGGGTATGAATTAGATTGATTAAAGGTAAAATAGTAATTTATAAAACAAATAATTATTAATAATTATGATATATATGTGGATATTACATCTATATATGTTACATACCAAACATGATTATGAATAGAATTGAATGTTGAATCTCGTATTATTGGTAAATAGAGGTTTGGGTTTAGAAAGGATCGGAGAAATTAATTCAAACCCCTCCCAAAAATTCATCCAAACAAGCCCTTGGTTTGTGCAGCATATTGACCCTTGAATTAGTAATATTGTTTAAAATTAGCCACAATCTGGTAAATGACTTGGGGCTAATATTGGAAGTTCAGAGAATGATTCTCCAACTCCGTGTGAAATCTAGATAAAACTACCATGTATGAGTTTTAGTTTTTTTTTTTGTGAATTTGTCTCATAACCTTGTTTTTTATCAGTTAGACACATTTGATAAATTTGACGAATTTTATTTTTGAAGTACATATTTTTTAAAATTGATGATTCCACAAATCTAATTAACTCAATTAAAATAAAGTTTAGCAAATTACATATGAAACCCACACAACACAAGTATTCAAACTTGGATCCTATTTCAATCTGGAGCAAAATCCAACCCATTAACCCGGTCCATGCCTATTCAAAGCCAATCTTGTAAATCATTACCACCATTTCTTAAAAAACTTATTTGGTGGGAGTAATCAAACTACATGAACGTGGTCTAAAACTTTCCACCTGTATTGGATTTTGTAATTATTACAAAGATTTGTAGTCCTGAAACTCAATTCAATGATTTAATCACTTATATAATTATAGATTATGGGCCTAACTAAAGATTGTGATTCATGCCTCATTTTTTTAGTTAGGCCCATAATTTATAATTATAACCGCTAGTCTAAATAAAAATAAATAAACTTTATAAAATTAAAGTCCGACAAAAAAGTTAAAGTCTAAGTTTAATCTAAAATATTTAAACCTATTTCTCTAGTCCATGACACCAAAAAAATTATAAAAAAAATAATAATAATAATAGCCTCTATTTTTTTATCTTTCTTTTCAACATTTTTCTTCCAACCTCTCTCTCTCCGGTTAATAATCTATATTCGGTTTTTTTTTTAACTAAATGTAAATTGAGATTAAAGGAAAATAAGTACAAAAATATAATCAATCACCAAGACTTAATACGCGTCCGAAAGGCCATACAAAGTAATTCTCAACTTAATCTAAAATGAACAAGCATGTGGAATAAATTATAGTAAAAAACTAAAGATCTATGCACGAAAAGTAGAGACAGGCGCACAATAATCTATTACCCTTGACAATCTGCATTTACTTGTTTGTTGATTTTATACACCACAAAATTCGCAGTCTAATAGCATTATTATTAAGATTGGGGCTCTTGGTGGTTTGACACATAGTTATGGTGAACATAAAATTTTGCGAGAAAAGCGAGAAGAATAAAGTTTAAATAAGATATTATTATTAAAAATGATGATGCACAAAATTGTCTTCGTGTAAGATTAACAGTCAAATATGTGTAAGGGGGAGCAATTAATGAGTGACAAATAAGCAATCAATAGCAATTAAGAAAAAAACAGTAAATAACAGATTAACGCGGAAATTTTTAGTGGTTCGGTACAGGTGACCTACTCCACTCTCGGGAATAGTAGCAATGACCTGGTGTTCTTTATTGATGAATCATGGTCTCTAGAGAGTTTACAGTGCCCTTGAGAGAGAGAGATGTGTGTAGAGAGGTGCAGTGTGTGTAGAGAGCTCAAGGTGTAGAGGTATCAAGGAGGTGATCATCATCCACTTCTCTATGTGGAGATGACTTACATTATATAGGTAGGGTAAGGCGGTGACGTGAGGAAAGAGTCTTCCACCACTTTGGTAAGTACAATTACGGTAGGAGTGGACCTCTTTGGTAAGTACTGTTAAGGTAGGAATAGATCTCTGTATCCCAATGTTTTCTCCCTCATGTCCCTATTTCATCGGAGGCGAATTCTGAGCTGGGTTGGATTTGATACTGAGCTTGGACTTCAATCAGAGTGGCAAAGAGAAGACGGCGAAGGAGAGGTAGAGGACCAACATCTGGACAGCGCCCTCTTGGGTGACCCCTTGGGTGGCGCCCCCTTGACTCCTCCTCGATGATTTAGGCTCCTCCTTGATCCTTGATGAGTGACGTAGGCCTTTCTTAATTTATTGGGCTGATCCCTTATTGGTGCTAACTTGGTCCCATTTTGATATTGTCTTTGGGTCTCATTAATTTATTAAGCTTGATCCAGTTAATTTCGGGCCCATCAAAAAATAAAAGACTTTTTTTTTAATTATTGGTTTAGGTCTCAAAATATCACAGACCTTCATTGGTTGAGACTTTCTATCAATTTAATGATTATAATAAATTAAATCAATAATTTATATTAACAAATTAAATCTAAAAAAGTTATTATTTTGTCAAAGTTAACTACTTTACAGGTAGGAATGATGGAGGTAACCCCGTTTCAAAGCTTAGTAGTTTCTGGTTATCTATTGGGAGTCACTTTCACAGTTTCGTTTCAAAGTTCCACAATTGTATGGGCGGTTCATTTGTTGTTTTTTTTTTGACCTTTTGCCTTCTATACTGATTTACCAGTACATTATAATTTATTTTTTTATAAAAACATCTCTAACATTGACTCAATTTTTTATTTTAATTTGAGTAAAAATTTTGATTTTATACAAAAGGCTCTAATAGATAAACTCAAATTTAAAAGAGTATAAACTAAAATTTAAATTAGGGTAAAATATAAATTTTGGATCTTTAAAGAATAATGAAATATAATAATTGATGATTTGAATAAAAGTTTGAGACTTTATTGATTTGAGTCTCATTCGATTTGGTATGAATTTTGGTATCAGATTGAAGAAGGATTTTGGGCTATTTTTAATTAAATTTAAAATTGGGTTTAAAAAATAGTAAGAATTAGAGATAGGGAGTGCCAAAATATGACACGATCCATTAACACAATACAAAATTAAAGCGTTTGAATTGTTCTTAAGTCACTCGTTTCGTAAACGACTGAACCTGACATAACATGAACTTAATATGACACGATTCGTAAAATACGAATTAATAAACGAATTGTGTATAAGTATAATACTTTCTGACACGAACCCCTTGAGTCTCGACATGATTACCAACTCTAATTAGAGGTACTCTACCGTGTAACCTATTCTTAACAATAGTACTTTTCATTATGATATCCGAATTTTTTTTTGGGTGAATCTTATAAAATGCCCTTAGAATTATGACCCTTGGTTTAAATTACCACTAAACTTTCGAATATTTCAATTTGTTTATCAAACTATATAATTTGTTCCAATCGACCTCTTCCGTTAAGATTAACCAATAAGTGAAACATATTTTATTGAGATTAACCAATAAGTGAAACATATTTTATTGAGATTAGCCATTAATTAAAATAAATTTTGTTAAAGATTAACTATTAATGTATTTTTCTTCGATAAGTACCTACTATTTATTTATTGTGAAGGGACTATTTATGAGATTTATACAAATTTGTTTACAAATTGATATGTCCAACATTAAACAAACAAGATTGATATGTACAACATTAAACAAACAAGATAAGCAGTTGGCCTAATACTTAAAAGTCCCGCTGTTAAACTTTAGGGTTAATAGTATTTTTTATCTCTAAAATATTAATTTTTGTTAGTTTAGTCTCATTGAATCAATTATATTAATTTGGTCCCTAATTAAATAATCAGTCAATTTTTTTGACAAAAGTGACAAATGTCATTTTTTTAGACGGTATTACATGTCCAACATGTAATCATTATGTCAAAAATTTAACAGTCAATTTATGTAATGATCAAAATAATATAAATTGAATAATTTAATGATCAAATTGACAAAATTGATACAATAGGGACTAAACTAACTAAAAATACATATTTTATGGACCAAAAATACTATTAACCATAAATTTTAAGGGCTTGTTTGGATAAATTTTGGGAAGCAATTTGGATTAGCTTCTCCAAACCCTTCCAAACTCAAACTCCTATTTACAAATATGAGATTTAATATTCAATCTAGTTCATATCCATGTTTTGTATGTAACATATACATATACAGGGCCCACAGATATATCATAATTATTAACAATTATTTATCCTATAAATGACTATTTTACTCTTTGATCAATCTAATTCATACCCATTTTAAATGATACAATTGTCTTTTATTCATCCCTTAAACTTTTCATCATTTTAACTTTTCATCCTTCCATTTTTCCATCATACCAAACGGAGCATTAGGTTTCTCCAAACCCATGATTATGGGTTTAATCTTCGGACCAGCCACAACTCAAGTTTGGAAACTCAGAATTGAATTTTTAATCCAAACATGGAATTTCGAGGTTCTTTGGACTATTTTTTTCAAACTTATCTTATCAAAGCCTCTTCATACTCCTTTACTAAACACCCTCTAAGATGACACGTTTAAACCTCGTCATCCAGATTCAGATTCTTTGTTATTAATTTTTAACAATAAAGATATTATTATTTAAAACGGCATTGTTTCACATT